ATCATCAACATAAACAGAACCACTCAAGACATTGTACAACCATTGTACGGATACAACTATAACATACATATATGCAACATAAACAGGACCACTTAATGAGTCGTGTGTAGGTAGTACTACATGCTCCCTTATCTGATCATCTATTTTTGGATGCACATGCCTTATAGTGAGCCAGTCTTGCACGCATGCCCATCCCAGAGAACTCAATCACCCATAACCCCACCTTTTGTTCGACGTTGTGTGGTTTGTGGTGCAATGTTTATGCCTCTGAGTGCACTGGTGCATCATGGGTAGTGCGTGCGCACTATGCGGATGTGTGCGTTAGTGGCACCTTGAAACGTGCTTTGCTTGTGCAGCAACGTGTGTCATTAACGTTGTCGACGTAGAGCGAAGGTTGAACTTCGCCTTGCAGCAATTGTGGTTCTATTTGGATATACGCAGCTTAATGCTTTCCATATCGTTTGTAGGTGTACCCCTATCATCACTCTCCATATTGTTCTAGGTCTATCCCTCGTATTACTTTCTTCATAGGTGTCTATGATCATTTTCTATTTCGTTCGTAAGTCTTAACCTCATATCACTTGTCACGTCGTTGATAGGTGTATCCTTAGAATCACTTTATATATCGTTTATAGGTGTATCGTTCATAAGCGTACCCCTATTATCACTTTCCATAGTTCATAGGTCTACCCCTCTTAACGCTTTCCATATTGTGTATTACAGGTGGGGGACATAATGCCACCGCAGTGTGAAAAGTCGTTCCACATGGTCAACGTCTACGAGCATGAAATAGTTTTCGGGTGAGTCGTAAAATACGTAGACGCAGTCAATTATCCGTATATATCGAGTCATTTTATATCATGTGTATATATATGCAAGCGAGTGTCTCTGTGGCACTGAAGTACTTTGACTTCAGATGAAATGGCGTTAAAATCTAAAACTATCCCATTCTACTACTTCCGTTTATTGATGTTCGTTGCGTCTGTGGGCGTTAGTCCATTTCGAAGCTATGATTAACTCGGCCTGATGTCTGCACCCTACATGTATACGAACGCACGCTTTGTCAGTAACGTACGGAGAACATACTCTGGGAAGCACTCAAATGCACCTCCATTCTAAAAATAGATTATGTACGTAGTAACACACCTGTAATCTTGTATTCTAAAAATAGATGCTATACCTTCTATGGCACCTTTGATCTAAAAATAGTTGCTGTACCTTTCAAGACACCTTCGAAAAATATATTCTAGATCTTTTTCTAGAATAGATGCTAAACCTTGTTATACCTTTCTAATCTAAAAATAGATACCGACTTTGTATGACATTTCTAACATAATAACATAAAAATAGATTCTAGATCTTTTAATACATTTCTAATCTAGAATAGATGCTATACCTTTTGAAAAGAAACCTTCAATCCAAAGCTAAATGCCATGCGTAGTAGCGCGTGTAGACAGATGAGTCAGTCGGCATTGAGTGTATCGTCCCGTTTCTCATACCGCTTTTGAATTGTTTCCCATTCCTAAACGCTCAGCGAAACATGCCAAATAGATTTCGCGTACGAAATACCAAATTTGAAGTCAGGGAAGATATCGGTACGTAACTTTTCATTGTACGCATCGAGTAGCTATCAACGTGCATACAAACGCCAACATGTGTGGATATTACTTATATATGAAACCTAATCGGTTTAAGATTTTTTGTTGTTGTTAGTACATGTACATACACGCATATATATATGTATATTTCTATATGTATATATACATACCACATTGTCCCCGTCAATATGGGTCCGCAAACAATGCACCCACCAGCGGTCTCTGTACGTATATGCTTGCTTGTGTCTGTGCGGAGAGATTCTTACATCCATACACGTTTGTGTATCTTCTCATAGGTGGTTTGGTAAATTATTCCGAGATATCTATATCTAAGTTTGAAAAGAGATGGTGTAGTGGTTCAGCTAGTGCAATGAATCTTGTTTGTGTCTAGAACGGTTCCCTGTGTATATTTCCACGTGGTGTCAGTGGTGTCAATTTGACAGTTTGTGCTGTATGCTGCCGAACCATCTGTTGCTTATCTCAGGTGCAGACAACGTATAATTTTAGTCACCTAATCCAACGATATCACCTAGCACATATACTGTGTGTTGTGCCACAAATAAAGCGAGCACCTGATATCAATGCACATCCAATAGATTCATCTATTCCCATATTTGGGCATTGTTCTATTAATAGCGCGAGGTGGTGGTGGTCGATCCCGTGTCGCGGCTGGTGCTGATAGATTTCTGGGAAGATATAATGATTCTGTCCGCCAGAGACTTTGTGAACATGCACCGAATTCAAGATGAGCGTCTCGACAGAGATGCCAAGCTGCTGCAAACCGCAACCAGGTGTGTGTGTGTGTTTGTGTGTGTGTGTGTGTGTGGTGGGTGGTGGTGGTGTGTGTGTGTGGTGGTGTGTGGTGTGTGTGTGTGTGTGTGTGTGTGTGTGTGTGTGTGTGTGTGTGTGTGTGTGTGTGTGTGTGGTTGTGTGGTTGTGTGTGTGTAGGTGTGATTGTATCCATGCGCCGGCGTTTGTATCTATGCGTGTGTATGTTCGTGCCTATATGTGTGCCTGTTTTAGCATACATGTGTGTGTGTGTGTGTGTGTGTTTGGGGAAAACCTACTCGTACTCTAAAACATTGGTGAGCCAAAATAATATACCCGTCACCATTGCAACACTCTTGCTACAGAAAGCGCCAGATGTCTCATACCATATACCTACCACCCCACACAGCACCACCGTACTGCTGTCAACGTAGATGACAACTTTGGCAAACGACACTTACGTACGGAGATGGTAGAGAGAGACATGCTTATATCCACATTCTGTGCATGAACAGTCTATACCCACACCTCGGCTGTCACAACCAATCCCTCGTACCACAGATTACACTACCAGTCTCACACATACCATATATGGGCCACATCACGCAGCACTAACATGTCAGTGTCAAAGTAGATGACACGCTTGACATCTGGCATTTGCGAGGGCAAGAATATGCGCTGGGTGGCACACTGCTTGAAGACACTGGACCAGTACGGATCCACCTCCACTTCATATAAAGTGTAGGTAAGCTCCTTCTTCACAAACTGTTGTGCATAGCAACGGGTATGGGTGTTGTTAGTCGTGATGTGCATAGCAACCGGTATGTGTGTTGTTAGTCGTGATGTGCATAGCAACCGGTATGTGTGTTGTTAGTCGTGTTGCTGAGTGGTGTAGGTGAGCTCCTTCATCATTAACTGTTATCCAGTTGAATGGAAGTATGTCTTGTCCCACGTGAGGTCGTACACTCTACGCAAAGCGTAGGTATGCTTTCAGGTTATATATATATATATATTCTTCCACGCACACACACATATATATAAAGTGTAGGTATGATTTTAGGATATATATATATATATATATATATAAAGTGTAGGTATGCTTGTATGCGTCTGCTGCTTTGTTACATGGTCATGTACTTGTGTATTTTCGCATGTGCCTGGTGATATATTCATTGGTGACTTGATCAGACATACACGGTGGACATAGGTAATAGGTGGGTTTAGGGTTTTAGGGTTTAGGGTTGTAGGGTTGTAGCGGTGGTCAGGGCTTAGGGATTCATCACCTGGAGTAATGGGTTAGTATTAAGCAGAAGTTGCTCAACCCTGTGTTGGTTACGCCAAGTCGTATGACTCGATGCGTGGGTTTTAGGGTTTATGGTTTTAGAGTTTTGAGACCCACTTGCACTGGAGCGTTGTATGCGGACGAGGGCTTACACTCTAGGCCATAATCGGTCGAGAGACAAAATACCTACCTTCTTTTCATTAGAAGGAGAAGGAACGTTAAAATTGACGTTCACACATCTCCACAATCAACAGCAGCATGGACGCGTGCGTACGTATCAGAGAGCTTGATTGTACGACAAAACGTAGGACAAATTAAGGCAAGACTCTGGGAAAAATACAACACGCGTGACAAACTACCACGACATGTGACAGAATACGACAATACGAGTGAGAAATAACAAGTTGTGACAGAATACGACAATACGAGTGAGAAAATAACAAGTTGTGACAGAGTACGACAATACGAGTGAGAAAATAAGTTGTGACAGAATACGACAATACGAGTGACAAAATAACAAGTTGTGACGGAATACGACAATACGAGTGACAAAATAACAAGTTGTGACAGAATACAATTCGAATGATAAACTGCCACAACTTGCGACAGAATACGACAATTCGAGTGACAAAATACCACAACGTGTGACAGAATACGACAACACGGATAATAAGATATATGCCCCCTGTGTGACTCGTTCAAATAATGTGACGAAATCCTGCCGTTTCAGTAACAATTTACCAGAACATATACACTCACCTTGTGAGACTGCTCCAAAAAGTGGGACAAAATCTGACCGTTCTGGCCGTTGTAGTGGATGTGCACGTGCAGTAGGGGGTGCGTAGTAGTCATGAGCACAGACCGCAGAAATACCGTAGCATCGCGGTGAAAGCCGTCTCCACACACAGCCAAAGCCACGTGTACAGTCTCGTTCTTAGGCACTTGTGCCTATACGACCAGTCATGGTAATACAAACAGATGTGCTGGTGTTAGTATAGTCTCAGACAGCCACGTGTACAGTCTCGTGCTTAGGCACTTGTGCCTATAGGACCAGCCATGGTAACGCAAACAGATGTGCTGGTTTTAGTATAGTCTCAGACAGTCACGTGTACAGTCTCGTGCTTAGGTACTTGTGCCTATACGACCAGCCATGGTAACGCAAACAGATGTGCTGGTGATAGTATAGTCTAAGACAGTGCTCTCGGATGATGGTACAGTCATAAAGAGGTGGCAGTTGTTTGTGTACGGTTTACGTCTGCATGGCCCGGATATTGGACATGTGGTTATTACTAGTACAGGGTCAGATAGAGCGGTATGGCTGTAGTATGTGATTTCTGTCGTAAGTCCTTGTGTATAAATGATCAATTAGTTCGAAGTGGATTGGTGGGATTGGTGCAGAGATGGTAGTATAGTCTCAGGCGGTGGTACAGTTTGTGTACAGTCTCTTACTTAACCACTCACGCCTGTATTTTGGGGGTGTAACCCTGAGTAACCCTGATATGGCATGCATAGATATAGATACCCTCTCAGAGATACATAACATCAAACGTAGATGACAGCTTCAAGGTTGGTAGTATGTTGGCGTATAATACAAACGTGTTGAACGTGTATGCTACTATTCCTAGGCACACCCAGTTACGTTACTAGCCTGAAACCGAGAATACAAACTAAAATCGCCCACAGGTATGAAAACGCCTGGGATTTCAAAAAGATATGCGCCATTCTTTATTTATATGCATACGCGCAAATAAACATATATATATATATATATATATATATATATATATATATATACATATATATATATATATATATATATAT